CACACACACACACACACACACACACACACACACACACACACATGACTTCTAAAACAGCAGCACAACATGGTTGTGTGAGGTTGAATAGGTGGACATGAGAGCTCAGAATCATAATTTAACATGTATGTTTTGTTTGCACCAGTGGTGGGCAGCACTGATCTAAAAATTAGTTCCACTACGGGGCGGCTGTGGCAGAGTGGTTAGGGGAGTCGTCCTGGAACTGGAAGGTCGCCAGTTCAATCCCCTGTCCAGCTGTTTCAGTCGTTTCAGTTGTTTCGTCTTTGGGCAAGACACTTCACCCGCCTTGCATTCTGATGGTGGTCAGAGGGTCTGGTGGCACTGGTGCATGGCAGCCCCACCTCTGTCAGTGTGCCCCAGGGCAGCTGTGGCTACAGTATAGTTTGCCATCATCAGTGTGTGAATGGGTGAATGTCTGAAGTGTAAAGTGCTTTGGGGTCCGGAGGGACTTGAAAAAGCTCTCTATAAGTTCAGTCCATTTACCATTTACCACTAGCCCTAAAACACTAACTCAAATATTTAGGTCCACTAATTCTAAAGCAAAAGCTAATTGTAAAGCACTAAAATAACCCAGTCAACCCATGAGCATTCTTCAACAGACAACAGGAGTCCCATATTGCCATGTCGCTCTCTTAAGACTCATCAATGACATTCCACAGCTGTATTTGAGCTCATATATTGTCACTGGTGGATAAGTGACACAAATATGAACAAAATGTGACAACTTTCACCGTTAGCTGTTAACGTTAATGTTGATCAATAACATTTATAGACCTCAGCTAGTGCTTCTAAATTTAGCTTCAAAATTTAGTGAGTGCTAATCCACTAAAAAGTTTTAAAATTAGCAAAAGCCTTAAAGCACTAATCAGGAAATTAGTTCCCCTTCTAGTGCTTTAGGGGAACTGTGCCCACCACTGGTTTGCACACTCTACTGTTTGTTTATTCACATGTTTCGTTACAAAGAGCAGCTTATGATTTAGTTCACATTGTCTTTGTTGACTGGATCTGCCCATGTGTTGTGTTTTCTGACATGAAAAGAACTCAAAAAGATGAGCTATCAAGGTAGAATTACCCTCAGAGTCTTACATCCACCCTTACAGTGGTGGTTTTTCTCAGCTCTTCCTGCAGCAGCCTCATGTCTGCTGCCTCCTCAGACAGGGTCTCTGATGGACGTCTTCAGCCCGTCTGACTCTCTGTAGACCCAGTCTGCTCTGTGGTCTCTTTGATCCACAAGAATCCCACCTGGGTGCCGAAGTTGAGTCCATCCCTGACGTGAGAGAAGAAGTCCTCGGGGTGACAGGAGGTGCAGGGCGTCACCAGGGGTCGCTCCGTCACTAAATGGTCGTGGATATTCTCTGGCAGGACGCCGCCTCTCTGGAGGAGGACTCTGGAACAGTTAAAAGTTTGGATAAATCTGCGGGCTGAAAACTTGAAGTGAATAAAGTTCAGTTTGGCTCGTTTGCAGGACGTCTGATAAAACTGAAACAGTGAAAACTCTGCGTGCCCCTTAAAGTCTGATAAGATTTCAAACTGAATCCTGGACATGTTTTTGAACAGTTCCCCCTCTCATCCTACAGACAGTTCTGAGTCACCTGTTGGCGAGGCGGATGTCCACGTGTGGCTTGGCTGACTCTGGATTGGGTACACAGTCTGGATGGACCCCGGTGAATTCCAACGCCTGCTCTCTGTCCAGCGTGAAGCAACACACACCCACCGATGGTCCCACCGCCACCACAATGTCGCTCACTTCACAGTCGAAATTTGCTACCATCGCCTCCACTGTTGCCATGGCTACCCCCATTATGGTCCCCTTCCATCCTGTGGGATAGATTACAACATGCAGTTTGATAAAAATGTAGATTAAAGTTGTCTTTAGGCAGTCACAACCAGCTCATCTGGGTGACATTATGAACAGATTGAAAACAAGTTCACTATCATCAGACTTATCACATGACTTCATGACTTTCATCATGTGTTTAATCACGTTCTGGTGAGTGTGATCACGTCAGCTGCTTTCTTCGTTGTGTGGCTTTAACCACGTCTGTGTTCACAAACCTGCATGAGCGGCTCCGATGACCCTCCTCACTGGGTCGGCGAACAGGATGGGCATGCAGTCCGCGCCTGGAGCCGTTAGAACAACTCCACTCTGATCGGTCACTATGGAGTCGTAGCTTTCAGGCTCAGCTTTCCCCAAAACAAAGACGTCACTGGCATGATTCACCTGAATAACACCAGCTGATTTTATTTATGTTGGATTATAAAACAATCACAGATTTCTTTCAGTAAGTAGTACTTTGACAAAACGTAGAGGCAGAGGGTGGAAGCCAGCATGGAGGGCCAGCCTGCGTTTGTTCTCCATCACCACGGCCCCGGGGTCCCTCCTCCGGCTGCTGCAGAACAGGTTTAAGGAGGCCAGAGTTGGGATGGAAGACACGCCTCCTGAACGCGTGCTGAAGCCGTGACCAAAGATCTCTGAGAGAGAGAGAGAGAGAGAGAGAGAGAGAGAGAGAGAGAGAGTGTTCGGGGACTAAAAATCCAACCTAAAATTTATGAGGCAAACTCTGTATTAATACAGCTTTATGAATTCAGTCAACAGCCTGATTTATTTTCTTCTTTCACTCACTAAATCTGGACTAAAAGAAGACACATTGTAGCACTGACTGGTCATCTCACCTGAAATGACTTATCCTGCAGCAATTCTGAAAAATAAATCCATCTAATACCTTTATGACAATAATTGTTCCTGGAAATAAATAAATAAAAACCAACCACATTACATAACTGATGAAGCATATTTATTAATATGTTTGTTCACCATAAACTACGACAGAGTTGACTTTAAACTTTAAACTCGTAATATTATGACTTTAATCTTGTAATATTATGACTTTATTCTCGTAATTTAAAACAAAATAAAAAAATCTTGTTGTGTGACCCTAATACTCTGTTGTAATAAACTAATCAGTCTCAGTCTGAGTATAAATATCTAATTTACATCACTTTACAAAATATTTTGCCAATTAAGTGTCTGTAGTTTTACTAAACTCCACAACTATTTCTCTTCCGTTATTCAAAAATTAATTTATTTTAGGTTGTAAAAAATCTTAGTTGAGAAAAATGCATTATTTTATTCTTTGATAAAAATAGGATTAAACTGCATTAATGATGGATTTCAATGGATTGATTTTCTCATTACAGACCACTAGAGGGCAGTAAAGTTACTTTTTTTTTAGAAGAAATTAAAATTATTCGGACAAAGTTAAAAAAAACATTTTGAAAGAGTTTTAGGATATGTTTGGAATTGTTAAGTTTATTAACACCCCAAAATTAAAACCAATCAAACAGGAACACAAATAAATGTGGCTGATCTTTCCCATAAAATCATCTGAGGGATTAAAGAGAATTAATCAGTGGACAGATTATTTTTTATTTTGTATGAGTCGACCTCCAGCTGTAATCTTTGTTGGGTTCTTCGTGTTTCTCATTGAGCTGCAGAGTAAAAACACTGATCCTTCAGAATCTGGGTCCTGGTCCAAATCTTTAAAATGAGAGTCATGCTAGGCAGCCTAAATGAAGGAATCAGATGATCACACGGACCTGCACAGGTGAGTATGGATGTTTATAACTCACTGTTTGCACTTGAAGGAACATTAAACCCACCTGGAACCAGTGTAGACTTCAGAACCCGGATGGGTCCCTGTAAGGCGGGCAGCTGCTGCAGAAACCTGGACACGTCCTCCTGCACCCTCAGACCAGGTGAGTCCGTGTGGGCGGGGCTTGTGCAGCTGGGACAGGTGAGCTGCTCCACTTGGTACTCGAAGGTATAAACGGCTGTAAAAAGCAGCTCCTGGTACTGGAGCAGCTCCTCTCGACCCCGAGGACTGGTCCAGACCCTGACGGAGCTCAGGTCCAGCCGGTCCAGGGTTTGCTTGAACCTGAACAAACACTCCGCGATGGAGCCGAAGTCCAGGACCTGGACGCTGCTGCGGGAGGTCAGGAAGTCCTCTGGAAACCCGCCGTCCTCCCGGAGAGAGTCCCCGCAGAGCAGGAAGACCCGCGAGTCCGCCTCGCGCTGCAGAGAGGCCGCGGTGCATGCCGTGCAGCAGCCGTGGATCAAATCCACCAGCACGGCCATCCTACTCCGAGCCAAGTCCGGTCCGATCCGGTCCTCGCGTGTTTATGCAGCCTCAGCGACAGGACGGTGTGTGAAAAGAAAGTACAGCTGAGCCGCAACTTCCTGCTCCGCCCAGACTGGAAAACCCAAAGAACCGCTGGAAATTCACATCTGGACTCAGCTTCCTGCTCCAGCTGCTGACTTTACCCAGGTCGAAGGGTCACAGCAAACTRCTGCTCACACGTTGTTTTATTTATTTATTTATTTATTTATTTATTTATTTATTTATTTATTTATTTATTTATTTATTTATTTAAATTAAACTTCACGATTTAATCCTCATCTCAGTAAACAACATGTCTGCAGTGCCGACTGCAGGAGGCCCAGCCCACAGCTGCTCCTGGTGCCTCATCTGATCCAACATTTGTGTGTTGATTATTATTAGTTTCAACATCAGATAAGGGACAAAAAATGCAGGTTTGTCAGATTTACAAATCATTGTTTCTTGTTTAGGCCTATTTGAAAGTGTTTTAAAAACGAAACGGATTTTTTTTTATATTTTATGCCACATAATAAATCAATGTTGTTTTTTCCTGCAATCTAATTTTGAAACCACAATGTAATTCAAATAAATGTTGAGATTAATCCATTAGTTTTTCGTCACCTTCTTTTCCATCTCACAGCTGCCTCTGTGATGGGGTTGCATCAGTGTCTGCAAAGATCCATGCCATCTGGAAAGACAACATCGGTGCAGAAAAGTGCCAGTTGTATTTAAATATTGAAAGCTGACATAGGATTTACTCTGTTTTCCTGATTTTTCTTTTTCTTTGTGGTTTTATGACAAACGTCTGTAGACAGGTTTAAAACATTCAGCTCATTCAGGAGATGAGTGTTATTACTGGACTAACTTCTGTTCCTTTTAAAAAAATTAACTTTACAAATATATTCTTCAGAGAAAAAACTGAGATCTCTTTAGTTCCTTTAGACTTTTTTCTTTTTAACCTGCATCAGTTTAACTCTGTTTTTGTTTTCTAAAGCTACTTTTAGCTACAGTTATCCTACTTTTAGCTTTTAGCTAATCTAATTTGTTTATTTTCAGCAGTTTGGTTTCAGCTTCCTGAGCCAGATTAGTCAGCGCTCAGAGTTCACACAGTAATGTCACAGTTCGTTCTGGTTTCGTCTGTCAGGACCTCACGTGAAGCTGAGGTAGAGTCTGTGGTTTGTCATGGAGGAACAACAACAACAACTTCCTTCTCATTCTGTGACGCAGTGTTCAAGGAACAGTGCAGCAAAGTCTTTACATTCAGTCTGACTCAGGCTGCACCTTCCCCCTGCAGACAGCTCTGTGTGAACCAGACCGACTCACCTGTCCAATGTGGGAACTTCCTGTCATTCAGCAACAGTTAAAGCAGCTGATGAGGAAAGTACAGAGTTATTAACACCAACACAACAAGGAGGAAGTTAAGAAGAAACAAAACACCAACACAGGTGGTGTTTTAACGAGTCAGACCAGGCAAATTTCTGCTGACTGAATCATGACATTTAAAACTAAGCAGTTAAATAATTTGCAATAAAATAAAAACACAGAGAAAATAAACAGCATGAGAAGAAAACTTTGGAAACATGCAACAGGGTCTGCATAATGCTGAATTATTGATAAATTTGTGATTTACAAGTTTATATGTAGACTTTATTCAAATAATGCAACAATAATAAAATAATTCAAACATCAAAACTGGTGTCAAATTTTCTAAGTTTATTTATTTAATAAATTAAATGACAAAATACTTACATAAACTTTAAAGGCCTAACATCAGTTGAAGGGAGGTTRCTCAAAGCAGAGTTTTAAAGTAACATTATTTTATGGTTGAGTCAAGTCTTCAAAAACAAAATAAAAAGTGTAATGTCACACAATATGACAAAGTTCTGCTTTATCTGTAAATGCTCAGAGAACAGGTTGTAAATAAATCTCAGCTACTACCACGCCAATTCACTTTAATATGCAGAACTGACAGAGTAATAACACCTTTTGTGTTTGATTACACACACACACACACACACACACACACACACACACACACACACAC